TATATATATATATATATATACTAGCAGAACGTGTCGAAATTCGACAAAATATATGGAGTTGTGGTATTTCATTCAACTTGCATTTTTATCTAACCTCATAAAATCGAATATTTGACCACTAAGATATGCTCTTTCTCCTGCAATGTCGATACTATGAATACTTACTCCACCTATCAGTGATCCATGTTTATGCACTTGTTAATTTTAGAAAATTACATAGCAAACCTATTAGAAATTCAAATAAAAACAAAGCATTTTTGCACATGTATTTTCTTTAAAATATAAAAACGTAACGTAATTTTATTAGCATAAAACGACATAAACAATACTCTGAAAATTGGCTTATAAATATCGTTTTGATGATATAGATTTGTAATAAAACTAATATTTAAAATATTTTGCAAAAGAAAATGATGTTTTGTTAAATTTTAACACCACATATACAGAAATTAACATATATACATAAAAGTGGTTCTTAGTAGGCTTAACACCTGTACATATAATTGTTTTTCTTATCAATGTTTACCATTTTAATCTTCTTTATGTTAATACGCAATAGATGGACAGATATCTGTTTTATCAAATGATATTATTCTGTTAGTAGGACGTGTTGAAATATATACAGTTGTAATATTTAAAGCCACAGTCTAAAACTAAGGACTATCGGATTCATATGGGAAAAGTTGTTTAAAAAGCTTCTTTGTAAAGAACATTTCCAATATTTGCACATTGAGAGACGTAAAATGTTGACCATTCAAATGACCGTATCCTGGATACGTATCCTATGTAGAGCTGATCAGGAGGAAACATTGGCTCAGCTAAGTGGAACTCTGACGGACAGACATCCGTTTTCCCAAATTATATTATTGTATGTAAGATGATTTGTTATATGCACATTATTAATCTGGTATTTTAAGATAATTAACAAAAACAACATGCATACAGTTAAGTACTTTAAATTCTCGAGCTTCACTTTTCTGTTTCCCAGAAATTCGAGAACACACGTTATAAAGCCAGAGATTTAGGGTAATTCGACTAAGGTGAATGACTTAACGGGAACACTGATACTGAACTAGCGCGCGCAGGTTTTTTAAAAGAAGGAGAAAGTGAACACTAGAGGGCCTGCAGTCAAGATTAGCCTTGATTACTGGTTACGGCGTAGGCGTACTGTTCCATCTGTTTACATACTCAGGTACGAGTTTCAGGTCCTGCCTACATTAAACGAATTCTAGCTTAACTCTTAACAATTACAAGCAACAACAACTGCAGGTTTTATATATTATAAGAAACTTTAATAAAGTCAATCGTTCTCGATAAACATATTTTAATTTTTTAAACTTATGATTCTAATCACTTAACCGATGGGATCAATTTCATATACGCTAGTATAATTTTTCAAATATTTGAATGCAAAATGACCCTTTTAGTATCAATCAAGTTTCGATGATTTTTTGTTTTTCACAAACTTAACATGAAATGTTTTTTTAAAACTAAGAACCTACCTGGACGCGTGAAATCCTTCTTTTTTATGCTCTATAGTGGTTCTAACTAAAACCATTAGAATATATAGAAGTCCGACATGAAATAAATAAGCGAAATATATAAAACAGTATTACTGAAGACAGCATTTAATTGAAGAAATATAAATTCGAATAGAACAAGAATTCTCTAATGTCCTGCCATCTCTAGGAAGGAAATAACACTACATAAGCTAAATATCTGTTGTAAATAACAACTTTCATATTTTTTTATCCCTCTTGACAGGAAATTACTTAATAGTGTTTACAACATAGATATATATAAATGTTCTGTGTAAAAGTAACAGTTTGGTGATGGACATTTGTATACACACCGAATAACGTAACCTATGACAAACTCGTATCACTTAACTAATGAAACATGTTTCTCCTCAATATTTCAAGACAACTTTTTGTCCCGGAACAAGAGTAAATCAACATTTTAGCCTTTACATACAGTCTGCACTGCACTTAAAACTGACGCAAAGCTAATTCGGAAGAAATTATACTGTGTTTTATTACTTAACGTAAATGTACAAAGACTGGCTATTCAGTACGAATCTTGCCATTATTCTTAATAGCACGTGCAAATACTGAAAATACAAACATAGTTATAACCAAGCAGATATTTACGGACATAAAGAATTAAAAAAAGGCAACTGCATTTTGAAACTTTACAGAACCTATCTGTTGAATAGGCATTATTAAAAAGTTCACATTCCTTATTATAGAGAAAATAACGTGCAATAAATATTTCATAAATATTTGTCTATTTAAGTAAATAGTGACATATAGTACATTAGTAGCTTAGTGTATTCTCTTTTTATCTTATAAAAACATAATATTCCATGTTCATAGTTATACCATAATTTATCTTCTAAGAATAAGTCCATCGGATTGCGAACATTAAAATTAACAAATTCTGAAATAATTATTAACAAATCTGATAGGTGTCTTACAGTATATCAGTTTATCGTACTGAAATAGTGACCAATATAACTAATAGGTGGCGTATAATACAGCAGCCTATTCTTCTGAAATAGTGGGATTCCGGGAAAAGTGTTTAAATTAAGCTATAAAAATAACTCTTAGGAAATCTTAAATATTTATTGTGAAAATGATTGATATTTATAATGGTTTCTGGAAGTCAAAGGTAAAACTATCCTACAATTTGAAGACTGTTTTCTACCTTTACAATCAGGCAGTCACTTAGATGTAAAATCTAACAACTTCCACTTTACAGGAATTGCATCCAAGCACAAAAAAAAAATAGTTGTGAAAATGTGAAACAGTTACCTTTCAAATGAAAAAGCACTAAACTTATCAGAACTATTCACATTACTGTAAAACAAACATTCAAGTCAGTTATAAAAAAAAATGTCAGGATCATACCCTTCGTTATTTCTTCGATTTGAGGCGAAAAGCCTTCGTCAACTCCACCTATCACAGAAAAGCCAAATCGCCGGTCTCCTGAACCAAGGCAAGTTTCAGTTTCCCTCAAATCATAGTAATATTTATCCTCGTCCAGTACATTTATTGCTTCATTACTGTTATCCTTATTTTGGTATAGCACATCCTGTCCTTCTTTATTTTGGTCCAATAAATTACTTTCATCAAAGTTGTCTTCTTTCTAAAAGATATCATCTTAGAAGTTTTAGATATTTGTATTAAGTTATAATAATATCATTGTTTAAAACTTTACTGTAATACAAATGTAACATCTAATGTACTCCCAGGCTACTAATATGAAATAATAACAATTCAACTTCTTGTAATATATTCATCTAAACATGAGTTTCAATATACTCTCCAAGAAACCACGAATTATTGAACAATCGTATTCCTTATGGTGCCAGGGTTCTTAATTGTATTGTATTTTATGATATGAACCTATATCTAGAGTATTATGTTAACGAGTTCCATCTGAGAAAGACATTTTCAGGTGCAAGATGGTGTAAAAACCTTAGAATTGTGTTATACTTTCAATGTATAACAAATTTTTGTGTACTTTAAAATTATTATTAAAATAAACTATCTAATTAGTTCATGTTTAGTATGTTCAAAGTTCATGCGGTGTAAACATTATAAATCAATATATTTTGAAAAGCTAATGAGGAAATATAAGGTTTGTTCTGCATTAACTTTGTCTAATGTTATCCGTGTTAAAATGTATGGATATTTGGTTATAAAATTAAGTATTTATGGTATAAAGAATATTGACTTTATACAGTGGTCAGATTTTTAAAAAAATGCCACATTTCCGATAAAGTGTGAAATGATACAATACTTGTTTTCTGTTGTTGGCGCCCTCTGGAGACAGGTATGATACTAGGATAACATTACAACACCAAACTACAACTTTTAATTTACAAATACGCTGTTATATTAAGAAAACAAATGTATACGACGCATACATATTTCATAGTTCAGTTAAAAAAAAATAATTTTCTTGGACATTTCGATTTTCTTAGTTAGTACCCATGGAATCTGATTGAAAGATCTAAGAAGAGTCAATAAGAGAAAAACGAGAGTTATGGGTCTGGTAGTGGGTGTGAATAAGAGTGACGATCAAATCCAAACAATAATCTAGGAGTTGGCGGTGGGTACTGGCGACTAGCTGCCTTTTCTATAGTTTATCACTCCAAAATTGGGGACTGCTATGCTCAGACAGTCCTTATGTTCATAGCTTTGTGCGAAAATTCGAAACTCACAATAACAGTTTCAGAAGTATTATTTAATTGGAAAAACAAAATAGGGTATAAAGCAAGAACGTATACTAGTTATGAGTGTACATTTTCCAGAGTTAAAGAAGTAGAAATTGTTTATTCATTCCATTATTTTCTATTAAAACAAATTGGCTATCCAATGAACGCCACAGGAACATAACTTCCTGATACTTTAGTAGTTTTTTTTTTTTAAATTCCAGATATGAGTGCTCTAGTTTTTTCCTGATCAGAACTGATGGCAAAATGACACAACATGGACAATATATAATGCATAGAGTTTTATGTATATTTTCTGAAGGTAGTGTTTTATAAGTACTTTTTCAATGTGCCAAGAACTGCGTCAATAAATCGAACTGTATGATTTGTTAAGAACACAATTAATATATGTCATATCAATGCAATGTATTTAAATTTTAGGTTGGGAATTAAAAATAATCAGAAAAAAATCAAAACGATGCGACCTTTCGATAAAGTCATCTGTCAAGTTGTAGTATAATGAATAATAATATAATTTCAGCTGCTGAGTTATTCAATGTATTTTGCAGCTTGAAAAGATTAGAAAATATGACTGATGATACACGAGAGAAACAAAATCAGTTTCATCTGTTATCGAATCTCATTACACACCGTAAATAAAAATAACCTAGAGACCTGAAACTTTGTACGCATACTAAGGGGATTCTAAGGGTGTGCACCTGGGTTAATATTTTTTAGATTTTTTTTCTATAATAATAATAGTAATAATAAAAGAGCCTGTGTGTGTGTGTGTGTGTGTGTGTGTGTGTGTGGTGTGTGTGTGTGTGTGTGTGTGACCGTCATAGCTCCAAGAGGAAAGACCCTAGAGACCTGAAACTTTGCATGCATACTAAGGGGATACCGAGGGTGTGCACCTGGCTATTATTTTTAGGAATTGATTCAAAAAACATTTGGCCAATTTTTTTGCCCTACAGCCATCAAGCCCCATAATTCTGCTATAGAAAAAGAAAAATATCATATTTTTTTTCTAATTCTCACTTACTGAATGAATAATATGTGGAGATTTTCTGCCAAATACTTTCTTTCAACACAAACATGGGAAGAAAAATACAAATCCGAGAAATTGAAAAAAAGGTGAATTGAACGAAACGGCAACAAACAACGGGAAGAAAAAATATGAATCAGAGAATATTGGAGAATTCGGAGAATGAACATAATTCAAATAAAAACGCAGGAAGAAAAAACGAGTCCGAGAAGCTAAGTTAAAACTATTTCTTTTTAAAAAGAGTTGAACTGAATTAAGTTTGGGAAATCGCAACAGACAAATAAATTAAAGAGTTGGCGCATTTGGTAGCTATAGAAGTAATTGAGTTAATGGAGACGCTTGACTGGTACATTGAGGCCTCTGTGAATCATGAGGGGACGTTAGCTATTTTATGCTGGTAAAGAATAAAAGATAAATAAAAATGGTTTTGTTTTTCACTTTTGCACAATGGGATAAACAGCTATGTCAGAGATCCCCACTGAAAGCGGGATTGGCTGCCACTCTTATAACGCATCCTCAGCTAAAAGCGTGTCTGGTATAGCATCATGTGAGACATATTAGAATTTTTAGAAATACAATTTTTATATATGGAAAATAAAACCTCATAACCTAAGTTCTTATTAAATGAAAAAAAAAAAAAAATTGGGAGCAAAATTTCTAAACGTTACAAATTAATTACACAGGCCTGCGGTGATTTTATTGTCTTGAAATTTTTACATTTTCTACAGTAGTTCCTGTACAATGAATCCGAAAATTATATCCATTTTTCTTCATCACCTACAGATTTTACACAAAACGTCATAACGCAATACATAAAAGAAAGACCACAACATGTAGTTTTGAGACTAAAAGACGTAGTTTTCACACACACACACAAAAATCAAGCTGAATGAGGATGCATATTCGTTTCACATCAATGTTATTCCCCTTTCTTCAGTTTAGTTTTATTAACAAATATAGTAATAAAAGATGTTCATTGTGGTAAACGAAATAATAATTTGATGTAAGTAAGAGTTTTTAAATTCATTCCTGATTTGTAAAAAATCCTTACGTGATAGAAAAAAAAGAATATTATTTTCGAAATCTGCGTAGCTGAATTATGGAAAATCCGTTATTCAAACCAAAACTTTTATGAAGTTTAAGTTTGCAAGCCTGTATTATCTTCGAGAAAGAAGGAAATTATCTACACGTTAGCGGGTGTTATACAGTGTATTAACAATTATTTAATTGTATTGGGCGAATTCTGGTGAACTAAAATTCACTATTTGGTAATACCCAGTGAAACATACATGGTTCACAAAACACAGAATTTAGAATCTTAGAAACTACACATACCGATAAAAATCATAGGGGCCCGGCATGGCCAGGTGGTTAGGGCGCTCGACTCACAATCTGCGGGTCGCGAGTTCGAATCCCCGTCACACCAAACATGCTCGCCCTTTCAGCCGTGGGGGCGTTATAAAATGACGGTCAATCCCACTATTCGTTCGTAAAAGAGTAGCCCAAGAGTTGGCGGTGAGTAGTGATGGCTGGCTGCCTTCCCTCTAGTCTTACACTGCTAAATTAAGGACGGCTAGCGCAGATAGCCCTCGTGTAGCTTTGAGTAAAATCCATAACAAACAAACAAAAATGATAGGTTTACAGTTAAAGCCTATGTTACCTCATGAGGGACTTCGAACTTCACAGTTGAAGGTAGAAACTATGTGTATGTATGTGGGCATATACTTAACTGATAACCATCAAACAGTGGAAGATGTTGAAGGTTGTTAGTTCCGGTCCAGAAAAAAAGGCCAATAATAATAAGTGTATTCGGCATTTCATTATTTACAGTTTTTATTTTATTTTTATTACGATTTATTGTGAACATGGAATAGCGTAACGCATTAGAATCACCAAAAGTAGAAATATCTAACGGTTCTTCGTTAACTTACTCTTGTGTTGCTCCTTTGATTGTTGTTCGAATCATTGTTGGTGAAGTTGCAATGACCCTGAAGGTTCACTAACGATTCTGTTCTGGCCTTAAGCAACTCTCCCACCTCCCTGTCCTCACGGTGAGCTCGTTCTTTGGAATTACAAGCACGTGGGAACGTCTGAAAGGTCTGAAACGAGCTTAGGCTGTAACGAGGGTCAGTCCAAGGCTCCGCTGCTCGGTAAGACTGCTCAGACACGAGAGGGAAAGCCACATTTTTAAATACAGAAGGATTTTTTTTTCTATTTTGTTCTATTAACTTTTTTATTATATTTTCCAACACATGAGAAAGCCATGCGAATATTTCAATACAGAATATAATTTTATATTTGAATACGAGTGAGTTAAACATTAGTTTCACAAATCTTATGTTTGAGTTAGTGTAAACACATAACAGAATACGTGTTAATGCTTACCTTGTACAATAAATATTGTTCTGTTATGGATTTAGCAAAAATAACATAATTTCACCATCATTTTATACAAGTCCATTTCCAATAGTTAAATTGGGATTTTGCGATTTTGTAATAAATATATTGATTTGAACTTGAAGACTAAAATTGTATTGAAACTTTAGTCAGTTCGTTGATGGGTATATTGTTGATATTATTGCATCAAGACGTTCAAACAAATAGGTTTTATTCTTTCTTATGATAGTTTACTCATGCAAGTTAATCACTTGGTGAATACAAGATAGCTCCCGCGTGAAAAAAGAAAAAACGTTTACATTACAATACAAGATACTAGAATCAGATATCAAGACACGCGGCCAAAACAACCTGCAGGACACCCTGTGTGTTATTAACAAGATTGATAGTTTAGCAGCTTCTGTAGCTGTAGTAATTCAAACTATAACATATTTTTACTGGATTGTGCTCTATTGGACCCTTACTTCAAATACCAAATTTCAAGATAGTTCATTAAGAAATACACGGCATATAAAAATCTCCAATTTTCATTGAATTTCTTTCAATTTTTTTTCTTCGCACTGAAAGTACGGAAACTTTTTTTGACTGAGAAACATACTTTTATTGATCTTTTTTTTCAAATTTGGTACACAGTTAGAGCTTTATAACGTACAATTAGGTCTAATTTGGTCTAAATATAAGTCATATATGCAAAGTTATTCAACGAAAACCATTTAATTTTGACCAAAATTGTTTGCGCACCCTAAGCAAAAATTCACGTACTATCCGTCTGAAATTTTTACTACAGCTTCATCTAAGAGGAAAGGTGGACCTTTTTAAATTTTTGTCATTCGGATTAAAGACGGCTAATTTAAAGTAGCAAAACTATAGGGTGAAAGTACGTGCAGATACATAAGATTGGTTAGGCCAAGCAAACTAGATTAGCAGTTTCTAGTTCAAGTTTTCAAAAGAATCGTATGGGTGTACGGTTATTATTCATTGCCAACTTTTAAGCATAAATTTAATAAATACTATGAAATTCTCCTAATTGAAGAGCGTTTAGCGTCACGTGATATGGGCTTAAGCAATTAGCATAAATAGTGATGCTTGGTACGGCTGTACCGAGTGTGATGACAAGAAACTGTTAATCTAGTTTCCATGGCGTTATTATAAAGGAAGTTGTTAACACTGGATTAGAGAGGAAAACTACCACCATATATTTTAAAGAATCTGATTGGATCTCTAAAGTATAGGTCTGTTCCGAATAATAGGGTTGCGATCCTAAAGTTAATGTTGGTTATTATCGAGTGTCACTTTCTTACTTGCTGTGATTTGTTGGTGTGTATTGACAAAAAGTCAGGATATTTAATCAAAAACACCTTAGGTGTGAAAAAAAAGGTGCGGCCAAAAAAAAAAAAGATTTAGCGTGCGACTTAAAGGAATAAAATCAAAATTGGCGGCCAAACTGGTACCTACACTTGTAGCACGCTCACTCCTTTTTTGGCCGCACTTTTTCTCACACCCAAGGTGTTTTTGATTAGATACAATGTATGTAGAAGTGTTGATATTATCAACAATATGAAACGTACGTACATTGTTACCACTTCGTTCTAACAACGGTCTGATTTCAGCTCTGTATAGCTCTCTTACCCTGAAGAAGGGTAGTTACCCTAAACGTCGTTTATCTTCAGTAATAATAACAACGTCAATGGAACTTTATCTGACTTACCTTAACAACGTTCACCTGTTTTTTGTTTATACTTTTATGGTTGATATTGCTATACTTCCTCTTCTCGACACACTAAAAATTATGAGATAGTTTATTCATACATGTTTAAGTACAGGACCGGTAATAACAGCAACATGAACCGAATCTTACCAATATTTCATTTTAAATACATGGCCGGAAATACCAGTAACATGAACCGAACTATACCAACATTTCTGATAATAAAGAAAACAATAAGATAGTATATTTCCTTATGAACTGTAAACAATAAAGCAAACTGAGTGTACGACTATCAAGACAATAGCACATAACAAAAATTCGTACTTTTCTACAACACGTTTTATAGTTTTAAACGTTACATAGTGTTTCCAAATTCATATTCATTTCCGATACTATTAAAAGCCTATGAAGATAGTGTGTATAGATGAATTGTATATGTTGTATATTCAAAGGTGAACTATAATTCAAGTCATCTGGTAAACAAAACATTCATTCTATAGGTTTACGAGAATGTAATGATTCGGTATTCTATGATTCGTTCCCTCTTCATGTTAGGACTCCGTTATAACCAAACATTTAATATTAATCTTACTTTCTACAGTTTCAAGCTTTGATGCTCTGTTAACTAAGTACAATTATGGGCCATTTTGTGTTTTCTAATGCGTGATATATTCTTGTGTAAAAAGATATAAGTAAGGATAATACTTCTGAATGTAATTATGTTTGTTTTATTTTTTAAGCATAAAGGGCTGTCTCTGCTATGCCCACCACAGATATCATAACCCGGTTTTCAGCGTTATAAGCCTTCAGATTTACGGCTGAGCCACTGGGTGGCGTGTGATTATGTAAAGGTAGAATTGTCCTTGAAAAGTGTTTATGATTCCCTTAAGGTTCATTATTTTTCTATTAAAGGTGTTTAGTTTGTCACGCACCATAGAACACAAAGGAAGCAAACGAATTGTAGGTTCATAGCGTTACTACCGAGTAAACCTTTTCACTTTGAAAGCTTTTGTTTGAGCATCAGACAGAATGAGTCACGAATACTTTTATCCCTGTTATTACAAAAGCTTCCATAACAATTCTCACAACTCACAATGACACTACTTACACAATGATGTCGGTTATCACAATTAAATATAACACTATTTACACGAAGTTGTCGGTTATCACAATTAACTATGACACTAAATACACAGCGATGTCGGTTTTCACAACTAGCTATGACACTATTTACACTACGATGTCGGTTCTCACAACTAAATATGACACTATTTACACGACTATGTCGGTTATCAAAACTAATTATGACACTATTTACACGACAACGTCAATTCTCAAAACTAACTGACTAATTACAATATGTTGATTCTCACAACTAACTCTGACACTAGTTGCACGAAGATGTCGATTCTCATAAGTAGCTATGACACTAGATACAAAAAGGAGTGATTCTAAAAAGTAACACTGGCTTTAGTGATATTTTTGGCCGTAGTTTCAATAATATCTTTCGCGATTCGGCCAGCTTAGAATAATTAGCTTAGTCCTAAATCCATATAATAAGCTAACAGTGAAAAAAAGAATATTTATAATAAAAATATAAACACTTAAAACAGTTATATTAAACATTATAACCAATAAAAATAATATCATAAGGAAAGAACAGAGTGTACCTTATTTATGGAACACGTAAACACTAGTTAACACCTGTCACTTTACGACACAAATGGAACTGGCAGCCTAAAGTATTATATAAAATCAACACTAAGTAACCGAAAAGTATACGTGACAAATTTATAGTCCGTCAAAAATGGCGAGGCAAGTACTACCACCCCACTCCACAGTATAGACCCAAGACAGCATTTAGTTATGGCC